TCTTTCCAGTAACAAGACCTGATTAAACAGTACACAGACAGCACTGATGCCTTGATAAAATTCTCACTACTCCTGCTTCTCCAACGAGAGCATCAGGTACCTATCAGTCTCACTGCAACACTGGGACACGGAGCCTCAGCTCCCCCTGATTCTCAGGACCGACCCATAAAAAAACACTGAAACACAGAAGTAAAAAAAGGTAACATTTCAGGGGAGTGACAATGGAAGGTTAAACTTAGAGCTACCAGGACCAAAATCATTCATTCATTTTCCAGAATACCAGCTCAGTGCTTTCTGATTATTCAAATAAAGCAGGGATCACACCATATTAAGAGCTGCAGATGATGATATTTCTAAGTGGATCTTAAGAATAGCATGTGGATCTCAGGTCATGGATACAGCCCAGTTATTAACTGCGGGAAAATGACTCATATCCCAATTCCTACTCAATTATGTAACTACGTTGTAAAGAAGACAGCAGGCGCTCTGACAAGATGAATTAAAAGATCATCAGTTCCTTCATAAACCAAGTGTCACCCATACTAGTTTTACATCTTCCTCACTCCCTCCTCCACCTCCCAGTGACAGATTTCTGAAGTTCACAAACAGCCATACGTCTCATACAACACTGGGACCAGGAGGTTACAACAGAAAAAAACAACCACCAAACAAAACCAATCAGAAAACAACCATCAAAAATTATGCCTATAAAAAAGTATCTCTTCTTTTTTAACACACATAAAGAACATACCTAGTTGTCCAGCAGCCATCATTTGAGAGCATCTTATGCTACCAAAAACACCAAACACCAGACTACTATTAATACAGAGACAAATAAAGAGCCATTATTGATGCTCTGCCATTCAATCAAAACACTAAGGATAAACCTAAACTAGATACAGAATTTGGCAAGCCCAGGCAGCATACTCAGCCACTTGTAAAGTAGAGCACAACAACCATTTAGCAATGCATATCACTGCTCAGGACCAGCAGAGAATGTTATATCTCTTTTAAACTCCTAGAGGAAAAGAAACTAATTGCCAGCATTAAAATGCAGCTAGGTCACTGTGCCGAAAGGGATATAATCAACTTGCAATCTCATCAATTAAAGACAGAGAAAAAAGAAATTTCAGGTACTGTACTCAAATCCAAATCCCCACCTCTTTTTCTTGGTAAGGTCAGTCAATTATGTTTTGTTTTTCTTATGTTTTCTTTTGTTTTCCTGTTTCCCACAATAAACAATAAGAGGAAGATGATTAAAAGCCTGATTAGACAGCAGAAAATGAAATATTGTTGTGGATGCTAATTGAAAACAACAAATAAGAAAATATCTTTTTTTTCTTCATTTCCTTTAACCTTCAGATACTGTCTGATAAGAATGCACATAAAAACAAAAACATCCATATAGACACATTTAAGTTGAAAGCAGCTATCTAATGTCAAGCCTTCCCAAAATGGAGCGGTAAACCTCTTTTCCCTGACGAACATAGGTAAAGAGGCTTGGTCATCGATCTCATCCAGATACCTAGCACCTACAAAAGCACCCTTTCAGATACTACCATTATGCAGAATGCCACCCTCTGCAGCACCTACTGCTTTCATGAAAGGCTCCTCATCCACCTACCATCCAAAGCCAAGCCTATTTAACCCATTACAAGGGTCATAAAGCTGGAAGTAAACGAGAGCACTTTAATCCCTAAAATTCTGTCACCAGAGATTAACAAGACAGGCAATTAGACCCGTGACTTGGAGGTGATCATCTCTACAGAATATATAGTATGAAGTTTATCAGAAATACTGGCCAACTTGTTGCTCTTCAATTTTGTATTTCCATTAGGATCTATATTTTTATATATGGGTCACCAACAATAGATGATGTTCCAGACAGAAATCTACCTGCCAAGCCACGAATTCACCAGACCCAAAGCCCAGCCTTCTCCCACTGCTGCCAGCAAACCTGCAACATGCAGAACTTCACAACAGAAAAAAGTGTCAGTTTATACCAACCAGGCTTATTTTCAGGATTAAGGTTTCAGAACTCAAAAAAGGCCCATCTTCTGTGTCAACAAGACATCCCTAAAGGCACCACAAGCCGTTCACCCAAGCTCCTCTCCTGTAAGGCTGTTTTTCTTAGAGGAAAGGAAATCTCATGGTTCGTTTCCTGTGCAACTATATTCAGGGGAAAGTGTTTGGGCTAAGTCAGTACAAGTATCGAGAGCCATGGTTCACTCAACTGCAGTAACCGATTGAAGTGCTCTGCTCCCTCCGAGGTGAGCATAAGCTAGCAGCAGATGGAGGGAGGGATTGTTTTTCCTATGAACACATCAATTTTATGAAACGTTAGATTGTGAAGTTGAATCTCTACCAAATGAGGTGCGACAAGGTCGCTTCACAGTCATTTCCCCCAAACCAGTAAAATAAAGGAGAACATTGGAAAAACAAGATTATACTAGTCAGTGCATCAAAGAACACAGCACACTAACTCAAACCAGAAAGTTGTTTCCTTTTGGAAAAGGGCCTCTTTCCACCTCATCCTGAGTAAGCCTCTTTTTAAATATCTCTGCTATGTCTACAGAAGGCTGCACAGATATAAAAAGAAGCTGCTCAATAGATAATGGCAAGAGGTAATAGATAACATTTGGAAAATAAATTGGGTCCCAATGGCCCAATCCAGAAGACCAGACAGTTTGGGGGCTAAGCTGAAGTGCGTAGTCCAGCAGAGGAAGCACGTTCTGCCAGCTCTAATTTCCACTGCTCCAAATCCTTTCCAACACTAAACCTGCTGTCCCACCAACATGTGCTTCCCTTACTTCTGTACACACATTTCTTAATTACAAGCCCTTCTGCCATGAACTGTCTTCCCATTGCAAGATCCCAGTTTCGTTCACAGATTACTTTCAATGAAAGCCCACATCCGATGTGGTCAGGAACACAAATGAGAGAACAGCAGAGAAATCTGTTAGGAAACCAACCATGCACACACAAGAAAAAGCATCTGAAGAGGCACATAATGAGTAGGTTAGGTTTCATTTGAAGATAGATCCATGCTAATCGGAGGAAGCTGAACAGAGAAGAAGGAAAAGGCAGCAGCTGTATTATGGTAAGAGCCTCCTGTTCAAATGGTAGTTTCAAGTCTACATTTCTCTACTCATTCTTCATTGATTATGCTTTAAGCTTACCTTCTGTTTCTACACCAAGCAAAACCAAATGTCAATCCCTTATTGTGTATTCCAAGAACTGTAACATCAACAGTTGCAAATCACCAGGACCAGATGGTAATTCATCCAGGAATACTAAAGGAATTCAAGGATGAAATAGATGCATAGCTGTGGTGAGTCACCTCTTGCTTTAAACTGCCTTGGCCCGTGAGGACCAGAAGACAGAAAATGTGAAAACATTTTCTTCTAATAGCCTCAGAAAAGATGTGAAGAACTGCAGGCTGGGAAGCCTGGTATATTCTGGTGCATCAGGGAAATTCAAAGAAATAAGAACAGAATTAGAGGGCACATGGGTAAATATGATACAGTCAGGAACAGTCCAGACAGCTTTATTAAATGGAAAACCTGCTTCACAAACCTACTAGAGTCCTCCAAATCAATCAACAAGCAAGTACAAAAGAGATCTCCACTGTGGAGCCCAGGTCTTCATTTGAGGGTCTGTGCCCAAATCAAGGTTTGTTTCAACATATTTATAAACAATCTGGAAAAATAGAGGAGAGGAATAGTGTTGTGATTAAAACTGCTGGTGGTGCAGATTTTGAGGGGTTGGAAAGACCAAAACATCTGAAAAAGAGCTGTAAATTAGGCTCTGCCTCTTCCTCAGCTCAAAAGGGACAAGGAGGTAGGAGTTACAGGTATGAGGCAAGGCAGAGGGGAGGAAAACCAAAATGAATCCAGGGAATAACAATATAAAAGACAAGGGTGTGAGGTCAAAGGATGAAAATTAATAACAAGCAAACAGAAGAGAACATGACTATAATAAAGAAACTTGTGGTCTGATTCAGGCTAGCTGCTCTTATCTTCCTTTCTTCTTATGTCTAAATATACCTATACGCTGCTTCTCAGACACAGGTTACTGCTGAAGAAAATGGAATTAAAATACGGATTTAGTCAAACACTGTAACTCTGACAATGGCACTTCAGAAGGCAGCATAAAATTAAGCACTACCATGTTGTATCAAGGGGAAGAATGTTCATCCTTAAATTGTTTTTACACACGAAGAACAAGCGTCGGCAAACCATAAAACTTTACTTTTACTACTATAACAGCAGCTGCTATTCTTAATTCATTTAAGTGTCTTAAACCAGTTAAGAACAAACAGGCAACAACAACCTCAAAGCTTTTCTCCTGGAAAAACATAAATGTGTTCGGTTTAGCAAGCACACAATTAAATTCTAGTCTACACTGCAGCTCATTATAAATCCACTCTCTACCAGCCACAAAACATTTCATTTCAAAATTGTCTATCCAGCTTTTACAATCCAGTCCTTAAACTCCCCCATGTGGTCGACTGCTAAATAACATTTCTTTACTCGGACCCCAGAAACTTGCAGGGGACAATAAAAAGACAAAGCAGACCCCAAAACATGGACAGAGCCACAGAAAACTGAACTTAAAGCTAAAGCCACCGGGGAGGACAGAGCAGAACACTGCTCAACTCTACAGGGCCAGAAAGAGCAGGAGTCACAGGGCTCAGACTTTATCCTCTGAGGACTGGATTTCCCTTCACCCCTCTAGGCTAAACACTTTATTTCTTTCAAGAAGAATGAGGGTGTTCCTCCACAAACAGGACTAAAGAATCGCTCTACTGTTCAGAGAGACTATGTTACTAAAAGCAACATCTTTCAATAAAATGCAGTTTACACAACCTCAGGCCATTAAAGATCTCAGTGGCATTTAACTGATACATTATATTTTATTGATGCACATTTTCCCCATTTTAAAAACTAAAATTTTTTATCGTCTCCCATATGATGTTCATTGGTGCACAGTCTTTAATCTAAGTACACAAAGTTATAGTAGTGAGGATTAATTCCTGAATTTAAATGCACATAACCTACAAAGCATCATGAGATCCGGCAAGAAAGGCAACACCTCCTTTTGAATTTAGTGCTTGTCAGAGGGGTAGACAGGGAAGTGATGGCAATACTATTTAATCAAAGATTGAGTGCAGAGGTAGAAGCAATGCAACCTTCCTTTACAAAACGTAATCTCCAGCCCTTGGCTGGTGGAGCCCATATCAGAGACAAGAATTCCCTTCACTCGTAGTCATTGCCACCTCTGATCAGAATAACACCAACAGGGTGAAATGCGATCATTACTACGTCACAAGTCCTTGGCCACTGAAATCTTTCAAATATGTTATCAAATCATCTTTTCAGAACCTACAACTCAACAGCCAAAACCTAGTCATGCATCTTCTGGATTTTCAGTTATAAAAAAGCAAGTTCAATTGTGAGTAAGTGACCTAAATAGGAGACTTCACAGCCTATAACTAAACTTGTCAAAATACCACTGAAGATAGCAAAACCATTCGCAAACACTTAGCACAGCACTAACAAGACAGAAATCAGCACTACACATCCACATCATAGACAGGAAATAAAGACACATTTATTTTAAAAAAACGTGCATGTTATCCACACAGTGAAATCCAAATCTTTCCTGTTTGAATCCTGTTTTTTGGTTTACATACAACTGTTTGATCCTTCGGCCTAAGAAAATCAACATAACTACACATATATTAAAAAACACTCAGCTTTCCTGCAGCCAAGAACTAACCCAAAGAAATACCAACACACCTGTAGAAATCACTCTCTGGGTCACTGTGCCTCAGCTGAAATGGCATTTTGGGGGTCTTGCTATCCAGAGGAAGCAAGTCATCGGGGAGAGGTGGAGAGGCCGGACAAGATGGCAGCGGTTCGTTGTCTTCAGTTTTTATGCCTTCTGCTTGCTGCTGGTTTTGGGCCTGAGCCATGGCGATCAGGCTGCGCAGCCGCCTGTTGTGCTGGATGAGCTGAATGGTGTGAATTGTGAGGCTGCAGGGCTCCGAGGGGATGTCCAGCATGGTGGTCGGCCGGGGTTTGTTTGCGGATGGCTGATGCAATGGAGGATCTTGGACTTCCACAGTACGAAACTCACGCTGGAGCAGGTCAAAGGAGCTGCGGTTGGCCTGGTTAGATGACACCGGAATCTCCCCCCAATATCGCAGCATGTTTACCGCAGGTCACCTATTGTCCTCGGAGCCCAGAAGGTGGCTACCAAACACTGTGGTAACAAGGAGCCCTGTGGCAGGGAGAAGCGCTGGGCTTTGGGCACCAACAGAA